TTTATAAATATCCACAACTATCCATCAAAATGTTTCACCTGCTCATTCTAGTAGTTACGCCTCACAATTGTCATCTTACTGGGTATCTCATCTTCTTTGCACCCCTGTATTTACTCTCTCAATAGATTTTTTTACAAACACCTATTTATGATATTGCTGTATAACTTTGATACTGCCTAAAATAAATAATTCTTTTTTTCCCACCACTACACAATTCTTAGATGCCCCATGCTGAAAAAGTGGTCTTATGCTGCTGCCTCAGAGGGCTCTTCCCTATCTTATTCAAATGGTGAAATCACGCTGGCAATTATGAAGCCTAAGCTCAATGGTTTTCTCTTCATCAGGGAACTTCATTGTTTATAAGATTCATTTTTTATTTTATGCATATCAGGGTTTTACCTGCATGTATGAATACACGTTTAATGTCCACAGGAAAACAAAGAATAAGATGCTGGTTTCCTTAGAACTGGGGTGATAGATTCTTTGAGCTGCCATGCTTATGTTGGAAGCCAAAAATCAGGTCCTCTGGTTGGGCAACAAGTGCTTTAACCATTGCTCTGGCCTCCTGGGGGACCTTCTCTTTGAACATCCTAGAATCAGGAGCAGTGGCAGCAGCACACAGCATATACGGTTTCTTCATACATCTTGAAGCTTTCTATTCTTATCCACATTACAACATCTTAACAAAGAAAACTGTCTAGATGCCTCCCAAACAGATCAAGCCAATCAACTGTCTCACCTATTCAGAGGGCCTGATCCAGTTGGGGGCCCCTCAGCCTCTGGTTCATAGTTCATGTGTTTCCATTCGTTTGGCTATTTGTCCCCTGTGCTTTATCCAACCTTGGTTTCAACAATTCTCGCTTATATAAACCCTCCTCTTTCTCACTAATTAGACTCACAGCGCTCCACCCGGGGCTTAGCCATGGATGTATGCATCCAGATTCCTCAGTCCTTGGATGGGGTTTCTGGCACAACTATTAGGGTTTTTGGCAATCCCATCACCAGAGTAGGTCAGTCCCAGCTGTCTCTTGGCCATTGCCAGCAGTCTTTTGTGGGGGTATCGTTGTGGATTTCTGTGGGCCTCTTTAGCACTTTGTTTCTTCCTTTTCTCATGTGGTCTTCATTTGCCAAGTACCAGGTCCTGGGCTCGCTGCATGAGATAGCTGTTTGAAACCTGGGACTTATACAGGGACGCTTGGCTCAATCTGGGAGGAGGGGACCGGACCTGCCTGGACTGAGTCTATCAGGTTGATCTCAGTCCTCGGGGGTGGACTTGACCTGGAAGTGGTGGGAATGGGGGTTTGGGTGGGGGGAAGGGGAGGCGGGCAGGAATGGGGAGAACAAGGGAATCTGTGGCTGTTATGTAGAACTAAATAGTATTGTAAAATAAAATAAAGAAAAGAAAAAAATTTAAAAAAAAAGAAAAAAAAGAAATAATCAAATTAAACAGTATGTTAAAACAAACCAAAAAAAGAAATAAAGAAAACTGTACTTTGTTATTACTGATTTTCTTTTTTCTTTTTCTGATTATCATCAAAGGTCAGAAAGGTAATTCATACTTTTCTATATTCTCTGGATAAGGCCTCAGTGTAGGCACAAAGACACCAGTAAAGTCAATAGCAGAAAGTATGCTTGTATGTGTTGCTCATGCTTCACTTTTTATTCATGTCTCCTTACTTCTTATTCATAACAATTGAAGTTATCAGTGTTATTAATTTTCATAATATCACAGTTCATCATGGAAAGGCCTGGACACATTGACCAGTTATTATTCATGACAATATACATCCATATTTGTTGAAGATATTTGGGGTAGTGTAAATTTAAATATTCAAGAAAACATTGTTTGAATTTGGAAGACATCAAACACTATTAAAATAATACTGTTATCAGCCATACAGGGCCATTGGTGAATAAGGTATATTTAATTTTTACAGGTACCACATGGGTTAGTGAAATTGTATATATGATCTATAAAGAAGGTGATGTGGAAAAATGCAAAGAGGATGCAATTTTTAATAGAGTACCTCACCTGGAATGCAGAAATGAAGAGTTAATAAATGGTAATTTTTAAATTAATTTTAAAGATGCATGCACACATTTTAATATATTATAGATAGATGATACAGATATGATTATATTGCAATACAAAGATATTTTTAGTAACATAGGCAAATAATATTCTCTCTACAGAATTCCTCTGTAGGAAATTCTGAAACTTTAAATCCAGAGTAGTCTTATACAATGATATATGCCTGGAATAGTGAATAATCCTAACTATTATATGTATTCAGGAGAGTCTTATAATATGTCAGCATTTATTTCTCAGTTTCCTGAAGCTGAAAATATTTTAAACACTAGGAAACTATTCACTGAATTTCAAGGATAATCAAAAATGTATTCATGAAATTTTGCTTAACAACATGTGAAAAATTATTCATATCAATTGATGAAAACTTTTGATCTTGCATTATAATTTAGTTAATTAATAATTTTCTTCACAGTGAGATTGTATTATCTAGAATCTTAAATAACCTCTTTGAAAATGCTCATTTAAATTTATATGAACACATTTCAAATTGTCTATTTTTCAACTCAGGAGTAAGACAATTAAAAGAGAAGGAATCTCCCAGAATAGTGAAAACTCACCTGCCACCCAAGCTTCTTCCAGCATCATTTTGGGAAAAGAACTGCAAGGTAACCAGAATATGATTTTCTTAGACTTTATGGACTCAGATATTACCTAAAAGGCATCACACACACACACACACACACACACACACACACACACACACACACACGCATACACACACTGTGTGTATATATATGTATATGCATATATATATATATATATATATATATATATATATTATTACTCTTTTCATTTAACACACAGATTTTTCAAAAAATGTGAATTATTTTTAACATAACCCAAGTCTAGATTGTAATTATACCAGAAAAGTTGAACTGGTTACAGATATATCCTGAAATTGTCTCTTTATTTTAATAGACTAGTTCCTCTTCAACCCTTTTAAGTTTGTTTTTTTTTGTTGTTGTTGTTGTTGTTTTGTTTTTTGTTTTTTTTTTCAAGACAGGGTTTCTCTGTGTAGCCCTGGCTGTCCTGGAACTGGCTCTGTAGACCAGGCTGGCCTCTAACTCAGAGATCCACCTGCCTCTGCCTCCCAAGTGCTGAGATTAAAGGTGTGAGCCACCACCGCCCAGCCCTCATTAGCCATTTAAACCATGCATCTGAATTAGAAGTCTCCGCTTACATGATCTAAGTACTACTTGTAGAGTCTGTTTACTTATTTTTTCTCTAAGTGACTATTTCCATGGAATCAATGATTATCTGTGTCATGTATCTCTACACCTTACAAGAAATGGTAGGTTTGAATATGATTTGTACCCTCCAAAATTCACAATCAAGTTCAATGTTCACAATGAAGTCTCTGTACCTGTAGAATGTGATGAAGGAAAGAAAGTGATTTTTAAGGGAGCAGGATGGTGAATAAGAAAAGTATTGAAGGACAGTGGATTTGAAGCTGTGGTTTAGTTTGGAGGGATGTGTATAGACTGTAGACCTGGAGGAGACTACATGCTTTGCTCTATTTCTTTAGTGGTATGCCAGGAGCCATTCCCCGGCAGTGGATGGGTCCTGCAGAGGATTTAAGGACTCAGCGGGTGAAGGAAGTGAGCCAGGCCATGGTGGTTGGGAGAATCTCGCAGCCTAACTGACTAGCAGCCAGAGTGTTTCTTTATTTATACAGAATTTAGTTAGCAGGGATACATTAATGATGTTCCAAAACATAGATCATATCATTTTTGTTTTTGGACATGTGTTTCACTTCCTTTTGCTCATCTTTTAGTCATCATTAACAAACTATGACAGAACAGAGTTATCATTTTCAAACATTTTCCCTCAGGTTTTGACATCATTAATAAATAGAGTTATCATTCTTACTCATTAACCTCATAACCCAGTTTTTGAGAATCTAGAGGCATATAACAGCCTGTGCTCAGGCTGGTTTCTTTGGTTGCTTCAAGGACAGTAGACCAAAACAAAATCTTCAACTACCCTGAGCATTTTGCCATGTCTCAAGCAATGTATTATTAACTCTTAGTGGTCAGAGTGCCCAGGAACAATTCTCAGGCTAAAACTGCTGCAGTTATTATTTAAATTCTGGCAAAATACAATCAATGTTCATATTTATATCCTTATAGAATTTGTCTATCTGTCTAATCCTGGCATTCTGTTGTTCTTTGGTCTTATGACATTATAGTGGCTCTACATGAGCTAACTTCTAAGAGAGGGAGATCCTAACATCTCATACTTTCATCATCTTTCCACTCCATACTTTGCTCATCAATATGTCTCTATGTAGGGCAGAGTTGTATGCCAAGTAATTGTCTGAGTGTACAGTGGGAAGAAGCTTGTAATCTGAACTGTGGACAATTCCTCTAGCCCACTGAATCTTGTTGACCTTTTTAAGTTTACTTTGTTTTGAATATCTTGTTCCAGTATAAGTAGAGGGACAGATGTTTCAAGAATGCCTCATAGCCTCATGAAGAGACATCTGGCTTCTTCTTTATATATCACAACCTCCAAGGCATAAGGAAGACCTTCAAGTAGATAAGGGTATCTCCCTCAAAGTGTGTGTGGCGGGGAGAGGGAAAAGTATGTTCAGGACTTTCCTGGATAAGCAGCATTCCTGGGAGAAGGCATAAATGATTCATAAGGAATTTCCCATCAATTCAACATCCTCAAATTGTACAAATATTAAAAGTACCCCAAGTAAGTAAAAGGTGGAGATGAAAACCAAAGGTGGCATGGCAGCCATCACATGGCTCAGCTCTGCTAGATATTTGACAAGCAGATGTGCTGGCTTTATGACTTCTGCCATTCCATTCAGATATGGCTGTGCCAGTGGTGAAAATATTGGAGTACAAAGAGATGAGGCCTTTGCAGGATAAAGTTTTATAGTGTTAACTCTAGAAACAAAAGCTAACACCACAGCTTCCTGATTTGCCCATCCCCTGGTGTTTATCTACTATGTAAGAATGGAAAGCCAGTGAGTCAAGATACAGATTGCACTTTCCTCTAATCACATTCCTCAGGGGCAGGAGTGGTCACTTTTATTATTGAACAATGAAGGGGATGACCTCAAGGCGGGCCCAGATGGAGAAAGTAGAGAACTTTGAGATATGGATTTACAAATATGTAAACATAATTACATTTTTCTAAGTGCAAGTGATGAAGCTACAGGGTGTTTTGTCTTAGGATCTAAATTGTAATATGGTCTAAGGAACAGAAAATTGAACTTGTGACTGAGTGATCTATCAACTTGTTTATTTGCATTGATTTATTTTCAATACTACTATACTTGAATCAATTTAAGTTCCATTATTTTATTTATAAAATTGGGGAAAGCATCTGGTTGGCTCAATTTTTTGACAGTGGTTATGTCATACAAATAAAAAGCAAGAGCAGACATTGAACAACACTGGAAATGGTGCTGTTACCTCAGACCATGGAATACATTTCCTAGCAGGGTGAGACTAAAGGGAAACCAGGACACAGAGCATACACTGCCTTAATTTAAGATACTATGGTCTGTTTTTTTCTGTCTAATGTTCATATTTGAATCTTTTTCCACAATGGATTTATATTATGTTAGTTGTTGGAAACATGAATCTTTAAAACTTGATGACAAGGTAGTTTTGATAATCCAGTCAGTGATTTAACACCTTATTTTGTACTCTAGATGATCTATGTTTGTCGGAACGCCAAGGATGTGGTGGTTTCTTATTATTACTTTTTCCTAATGATAGTGAGCTATCCAAATCCTGAATCCTTTTCAGAATTTGTGGAGAAATTTATGCAAGGACAAGGTAAGAGCAACTTGTCTTCTTTGGATTATTTTCCCCAAAAGCAGGACAAAACAAATGCTGTTCCAAAAAAACAAACAAAAAAAAAAAAAAGAAAAGAAAAATGCTATTCTGCGTGAAGGAAAATAAATGAATTAATATAAACAGAAATAATATAAATATGCAAAAACAGAACTATAATATAGCATACATAAACAGAGATAGAATATGATATAATATAGACATATATAAAGAGAAATATAAATAAATATATAAATATGTACAACAGATTAATGCAATATGAGTAAACAGAAATAGAATGTAATATAAATAAAATATAATATGATTATAAAATGATACAAATACATATAAGCAGGAATATGGTATGTTTAAATAACTCACATACATACATATATATGTATACATACATATATATGTATACATACACACACACACATATATATATATATACAGAAGTAGAATATAAGGTTTTTAAGGGATATAATATTACCCAAATTCTAAAAGCACTGATGCTTAGAGTGATAGTAGATTTGTGTATGTGAGGAGGATGGAAAATTAGAGACTCTAGTAATTTCATTATAATGCCAATAAGTAAATGCATTGATACAGTTTTTTGGGTTAGGGGTGGTAGTTTCCCCTCCATAAGTCTGTGAGTTAGCATGTTCCAACTAACATACATTTTTATATTTTCCAAATGTTTTAGAACATGTTGTTGTAATATGATTGAGCAAAAAGCATGTGAGGGGATAAAAGCATGACTCATTCCTTTCCAATTAAAATGCCAAGGGATTAAATGAAGCCTGATGTAGGTATTTACAAATATTCTAAATACCTATAAAGCTCTTACTTATTTCACTAGGCAATGTAGACTGAACATTTTCATTTTAATTTCCCTGAACAGTGAAGAGTTATCTGAGCACATATTATGGAAACTTCATCATTCCATTGATGTTCTGACTAAAGCAACTGAGTGTTTACATTTGAAGATGAAGGGGCAAAGAAGGGTTTACACCTCATTAAATAAGCTATGTGAATTGTATAGGGACAGCTGAAAGAAAAACACTTTATAGCCATATGCGATAATGTTGTTCATTGGATCTTTGTGGTTTGCAGAAAAAAAATGTATTCTAGGACACTATGAATAAAATATATGCCTCAAGATTGTTAAGTTTCTCTATGAAATAAAGAGAAAAATAATGTATATCTTTAAAAAGAGGATGAATTAGATTGTTATTTACATCACTGTGGGCCTTCTCTTAAGAAACTTTGATTGTGGCATCAAAGCACAGGAAAGTACACCATGGGTCAATGCCACATCTAGTGGCCACTCATACATGTTTGTACCACTCTGTTAGCCTTGGATTTGATAAAGTTGTTCTGTGAGGGTAAGAGAAGAAAAGGGAAGAGACAGCATTTGTCAAATCACATGGTATCTAAAATCTAACTTTATGGAAGAGAGACAGGAATTGTCTCTATGAGAACACTTTCACAATCCAAATGGCCACTGTTGTAATAATTACTACATTCTCCCCCCCACTGTGTGTTTATTTATCTCACACACAGATGTACACCCCCCCCACACACACCAGTTTAACACATGCTCTCATTGCTCTAAATTGAGTTGGTTTTTTATCTTTTCTCCTTATCATAATACATATCATGATGCTAAAACTAACAACACGTTTCTGTACATGAAATTATTCAACAATTTTTGTATCATTACTGAACAGAACTCTTCTTAATAAGTGTAATTGCCTGTTAGCTCTCATTCCACAATCATTTTGTCCTAATAATCTGAATACTTCTATCAATTTGCAAAAAGATGATGTAATATCTGTACATTTGTTTCTTCTAATTTCAGTTTTGTATGGTTCGTGGTATGATCATGTAAAATCTTGGTGGAAAAAAAGTAAGAATTCACATATATTATTTGTGTTTTATGAAGACATGATAGAGGTAAGAAATGGAAGACACATGAGCATTCTAGTAGTTTTTAATATACTCTTAGCGTCTGACAATACTCTGGATACAATACTATCACTGGAAACATAATAGCAACCACTTTCAGAAATATAAAAGGAAAAACATGATATTCTACTTTGATTAAGTCAAACCTGAATCTAGTAAGTAAAAATGGTTAGTGAACAAATACATTTTAAGCCAAGAGTCAAAAATTTTCTAAAGATAAAATTTGCAAAAAGAATTGATTGAATTGATAATTACTAAGCTTCATCTTTCACTAGACACTGTAGTCTTAGGATTTATAACTTTTATATATGAAATTCACTGTACATATACCATGTATGAGAATATAATACTAGGCATGGTAGCTTATAGCTGTAATTCCAGAATTTATGAGACTGAGATAGGTAGTTAGGAATTCAAGCCATGTTTGAGCAGAATATCAAGGCTTGCCTCAAAAAGAATAAAAATAACTTTAAAAAAAATCCCCGAGGAGATGTCAGTGGATAAGTCATTGCTATGTAAGCTTGAGGACTGGAGTTCAAATACCTGGCACTTAAATAAAACCAGATCTGTATGGAAGCCTGCACCTAATCTTAGTGCTATGGAAATAGAGGGTACCAGAGTCAAACACACAGGGTGAACTTACAGAAAAGTGAGCTCTGTGTTGAGGGTGATATCCTGCCTCAGCAAAATAAAGTGGACAGCTATAGAAGAAGTTATATAACTACAAATTTCTGGTTTTCCCACACTCAAATACAAGTGCATACAGACTTATCTGCTTTTATGCAAACTTGCTTGCACAAAACACATACATGTACTATCTATGGAAGAATAAATAAACAGAAAGAAAGAAATTTGAAAGAACTACAATCAACACTTTACAAGTCCTCTCATTTAGGCCTAACAATTTTTGAAGTGTCTTGCATCTATTTCCGGATGAGAAAGAATTGCTTAGAATAGTTTGTTTTCTTCATTATAAATTTAATTCCAATGTGACCAGATGCAATGTAATATTCTCTTTCATTTTTAGCCTAATACCTATTCACCAATTTTGTCAACTTGATTTTTAAATCACTTTTATTTCTCTATAGGATATCAGAAGAGAAGTGATAAAATTGATAGAATTCCTAGGGAAGAAGCCCTCAGAGGAGCTCATAGATAAGATCATTCAACACACTTCATTCCAGGAGATGAGGAACAATCCATCTACCAATTATACAACAATGCCAGAGGACATGATGACTCACAAAGTATCGCCTTTCATGAGAAAAGGTGAGAAAGTCACATGGCTTTCTGTTAAAAGGTCTAAGTTGCCATGACTTAAGTCTAGTCAATTTTATTTACCCTGAATAATTAACATATGTTTTCTTTACAACTCTTTTATCTTGAATATTATTATTGAATTGTAAATTGTGTAGAGGCATTAAACACTATTAATATATTCAAGACCACATTTACTAATAATGAATTTCTGTTACTTGTTTCTTCCATTTGAGAAGCATATTAATTTGAGCATATGGCTGACACCTTAGTCTCAGCATCAGTAATGATATCATAGTGTACCAGCTGTCATTAACTAGGTCTTTGTCTCTTGGGTGTATACCATATGCCTTTTACATATTATCTCCATAGGTTATTATTTCTAAATAGGAAAATAAATTTCCTATCTCATTTTGAGATGAAAAACAAGTTCAGAAAAGTCAGTCATATTTTCCTTGTATAAGTGACAGAAAGTTTTGAAAAGTAAATAACTAAGGTAGGAATTCAAACACAATTCTATTTACCAATAATATCAAAACACAATGAAAGAAAATTTTATTTAAATAGAAGCACTACCTGGTGGGATATAGTCAACTTGTATACCTCAAATTAGGGATTTTTATATAGTATCCAGGTAGTAATGTCATGTAAGTAATAGGATAGGAATGCCTAAGTCTAGATTTGAGAGATTTATTAGGGCAAAGATGATATTCCATAATTTGATAGTCATTATACCATTAATCTCATTATAGAAAGCCCAGTATAACAGAGAAAAATCAAAGAAGAAAGCTCATTTGAAGTAGTTCAGGGAGGAGAGAATGTGTCAATAGGAATTTTAAAGACAAATGGTCAAGACAATAAAGACAAATATATTTTTGTGAAATAAAACAGTGTGATACATATATCTTTTATTGGGAAAACTGAATATTAGGAGGAAGTTTCACATTATTTATGAAAGATACACAGGGTAGAAAAATCTGATGATTCTGGCTCAAAGAGTTGACACTCCTGACTTCCACCTGTTTCATTACAGGAATCGTAGGAGACTGGAAGAACCACTTCACAGTAGCACTAAGGGAGAAATTTGATGAGCACTATGAGCAACAAATGAAGGAATGCACCCTCAAGTTTAGAGAAGAGCTCTGAGATGCTTCCTTTTCTTGTATCTGAAATTGGAACATTCTTCAATTTATCCTCCAGTTTCTGCTGGTTTGCCTGTCGGTAGAAGTAGAAGTCTTTTGAAGTCTTTTGGAGAAGTCTTTTGAAGGCTGAGATTTCATTTCTTTCTCTCTTTTTTTTTTCAAACTTCCATATCAATTTAATTTCTGCCAGCAAATTATTTTGACAGCAAAACCACATTTTCTTATATATAACATAAGCATTGTCCTCTTATAGTATTCAAAGATCTCTAATAAAAATAATTTGATGTCTCTATATTTAGATATTCATATTACAATATAAATGTTTTCTTGGTGATACAAAGATCAACAAATATAAAGATGCTTTGAGATTGGCAAGTAGGTAACCTTTTGATTGTGTTTGGAAGCCAAATATATGCAAAACTATATGAAGAAATTAAAGCAATTTCAAGAATTATGAGGTCACTTGAAGATAACACCTAAAGACTCACAAATAAAAAAATAGTTAAACTGAAATAAATGTGTTTTCTTATGTTTTGAGCCTTAAGTCCAAGCTGATGGAGTGCAGCCATCACTGTTGTGTAGAATCATGTTATACTTATATCAGCTGGATGGTAACTGTAGCCCTAACTAATTATTCTTTGTCAATAAAATATCAGGAGTTAGATATCAGGGTAAGAACCTGAAAGATCAGAGAAGCAGTGGAGCAGCTACCAGTTGCTTCCTACCACTTCCGTTCCTTCCTCCACAAGGGCTGAGATCCTCTCTCAGCCCTCCATAAGCCTTCCTATCTCCTCTCTGTCTATAGTCTTCTAAACCTCTATGGTTAATTTTGATCAGCTAGTGGCTAGCTCTGCCCTCTGACTCTAAGCAAGTTTATTTGTTAGAACACAATCAAAATATCACACATCATTTTCCCCTTTTGTCTAAATAAAAAAGTGAAGGTTTTACCTAACATAGTAAAACCATACAAATAAGTACATTAACTATATACAAATACATACAGGTAAGAATTATGTTAACAATGTCCAGTCCATTTACATTTGACAAAAGCAGAAAAAATACTCCATTATCTAGCCTGTCTTGGTGAAGTCAAAGTGTTGTACCCAATTTACTTTCTATCCTTCTATTACCAACCCCAAACTATCTTTTTTAAGTCCCTCAACCTTATACACTTTACATCTCTTTTGTGAGTTTCTTTTCTGAATGTGGTAACAATGAAATCTATATCTATAACTATCTAGTCTTCAACTACATCAGAGATCTGAGAAGGATATATTATTGAGTAAACAGGAAGTACAGAACAAACAACTTCCAAAACTACGTAGTTACAGAAACAACTGGCTGACGAGACAGTCACTCACTGTTCTTCTGTAACATTGGGGCATCCATCTTTGGCCTATAGGCTTAGAATATCTGACAAACTTTTCTGTGAAGCAGGAATTTTGGCAAAGTTCAGCAGACATTTTCTTTTGTGTCCTCCTTGTCCAATTAGGCAGTATACTATAACCAGAGGGTTTTCTGTCCTGCATGGTCCTGCAGCTACTTTAAAAATAATCACTCAGAGGCTTATATTAATTATAAATGTTTGGCTGATGGCTCAGGCCTATTACTAGCTTGCTCTCTCATTTAAATTAACCCATTTCTATTAATCTATGTATTGTCACATGGCCCGTGGCTTACCCATTCTTTCACATCTTGCTTCTTGGATAGCTTGCAGTGTCTGCTCTGACTCTGCCCTTCTTCATCTCCATCTTCAGTTTGAGTGTACTGTCTAACGTTATTCTGCCTCACCATTGACCAGACAGCTTTATTTATCAACCAATGAGAGTAACACATATTCATAGCATACAAAAAGACATCTCACATCATTTCCCCATTTCTGTCTAATTAAAAAGGAAGGTTTTTTTTCTTTTCCTTTTCTTTATTTTTTTGGTTTTTCGAGACAGGGTTTCTTTGTGTAGCTTTGTGCCTTTCCTGGAACTCACTCTGTAGCCTAGGCTGGCCTCAAACTCACAGAGATCTGCCTGGCTCTGCCTCCTGAGTGCTGGGATTAAAGGTGTGCACCACCACCACCTGGCAGAAGGTTTTCTTTTTTTTTTTTGTGATATATATTTTTTATTTTACAATACCATTCAGTTCTACATATCAGCCATGGGTTCCCCTATTCTCCCCCCTCCCACGCCCTCCCCTTACCCCCAGCCCACCCTCCATTCCCACCTCCTCCAGGACAAGTCCTCCCCCGAG